CCAGCACCATGGTCTGAAGAAAAAGAGGACACACTTTCCTTCACTGAAGATGCAGCTCCTGGTTGTCAAGACTGTTGCTGAGACAGAAGCTTAGAACTGCATCCACATCTCTTCCAACACTAGTCTCATTTTGCTTTGTTCTTCAAGAGTGTTTGCATTTCCAAATCACCAAGCAGAAGGCAGGTAAGGAAAAGGTCTTTCCACTTGCTTAAGTTGCTGTGTTCTTATAAAATGAGAAGTAAAATGGCAAGAGTTTGTGTAAGTCAAGAAAATGAATACCTCTATCTGTTAATAAGACAATGCAATAGGCTAAAACAAGTACTCCTAATAACAGCTTAACATTTGAGAGAAAAATGGACAGGACTAATGTAAATAAAGCTCAACAATTCATTTTCCCTTACCTCATTTTTTGAGGCATTCCAACATGATAGTAACACATATTTTCATGTTGCTTACATCAGAAAATTAAATAAATGACTTTCATTACTGAACTATGGAAACACAAAATTCATTTGCAATCTGTCAAGGCAAGTAATCTTGCCACATGACCTAAACCTGAACAGATGAGGATCTTAGTCCCAGTATGTCAAAATACAGTATTATAGAAATTTTTCAGAAGTTTGATGATTGGTTCAGAAATGTTTTTGAGCTGAAAAGAGGACAGATGTGTATTGTGCACAAAGCAGATATTTACTGAAAGTCTCGGTTGGTCTGAAAGTGTGCTTTCTTGAAGAAAGGGCAGCTTAAAATTTTCTGCTGATACCTAAGGAAATTGATAAACTGCAATTGAGGCAATTTACAAAAAATAAATAAACAAACAGAATCTTTGTTAAAATCCAAAACTTAAACTTTGGAAAAATCAGTTTTCAAAAAACAAAATCCATTTTTTTTAGAAGAAAAATATTCATTGGTTTTCTATGCTACCCAGAGTTAACAATAATTTCCACCAGTAAAGCTTTCTTGCAAAAGGAGATTTCCTTTCAGTCAAATCCATTTTCAGCTGGAAAAAAAGCCTCAATAGAATAACCATGCCCAACAAGAAAAGTAATAATTCATGCATCTAGAATATGCTTTCATCTTAGCTCCTGAAAGCATTCTACAGATAACAGGCTGACTGCACAGAGGCGAAAGAATGACTTCTATTTTATAAGAGAGGAAACACTAACAAGGCAAGGGCCCACTCTTCAGAAGCAAACTCAAGCATTGCTGCTGCAATGCAGGGTCAGCCCAAAGGTCTCTCTAACCCATAGCCTTTTGTTGGCATGGTAGAGGAGATGCCATGGTCATGGAAGGTGGGTTGTCTAGGGTGAAGTTAATTCTTCACGCTCCAGATGTGCAGCTCTCTCTAAATTCTCAAATGGAAGAACCTCAGCTGTGTAATTTTTGCTAGCAGGAGTCTGTCTGCATCCATCCCTGGCTAGCTGGGGCTGCCAAGTGTGGATGCCAAGAGAAATAGCTGAGAATAGGTCAAGCATGCACTGTGTAATGCACCCATAATATTCTCCCTGACAGTACACGATGAGGCTTACCTGAATCAGAACCAATATTTAATTGATTCCCATTTCTGGCATGCACAACTACCTCTAGTTATGCAATCCACAGCTTAATTATGCACTGCACAAGAAAGCTATAGTCTTTTCCATTCGTTTGCTCCAAATGCATTGCCTGCAGTTCTGCTTACAGTTGCCTTGTTGCTGCACAAGGAGAAAACCCTTCCCTGTGCACCTGCTCATGTAGGATTTTACAGACCTTTGTGGTAGCCCATATTCTCTCTTCTCCAACACTCTTGATTTACTGAGTCAGGACTTTGTGCAGGTGACATTCAATAATTTTCTTGCTCTTTCAGCATTAATAACAGATCTGGTAGCTTCAGTGGTCTGATGCCCATGGAGAAGGTCCATATTGCCCACCGTAGGATTGCTTGACGTGACTACTTTACTGCACGACAAGAAGCAAGGATGTATTTTACTAGGAGTATTTTGTTCAGTGCACTATTTCTCTGATGTTAATGAACTGCTCAAACATAATTCCACTTTCCTCCACATCATTTCAGCCTGGTTCTTAACACTACAGAGCTAAAAAAATAATAAATCAGTACTGTTTAAACATATCAGAAGCACATCTCATTAGTAACTTGAAATGCCTGATCGTGTTCTTGTAGTTCATGCTGCGAACATATCCCCAGGGGTCTTACCCAGCTTGACCTCCTTAATCATTGTTTTTCCTTACAGCATTGATGCTCTGGTTTCACAGATATCCATATAAACCAGCCACAGGCTCAGAAATGTAGTCTCCACTCTTGGGTCAGCAACTGTAAGGTTGTACTAGCACAAAGAACCATACTGTCAGTTCATGATAGCAGCCTGAGTTTTCTCTTCTTGCTGTGTAACAGCATGCTGCATAGCATCTCCGGGAGTTATTCCCTGGTTTTGACTCCTGGTGTACTTTCAGCTTGTTTCAGTTTGCTCTGAAGCTGACTTCTGTTGTACTCTGGTCAGCTTGCATTTGAGGACAAAAACATATATACAGCAATATGTAATTTTGGAAACTTCTTTCTCCTGTCCATGGAAAACAACTTCTCCCTATATCAATGATGAGTTTCTTCTCTGTGTTTCTTAAGTGTGGGCTTTTAGCACTTAAGAAATTTTGTTGCTATTCGGTAAACACTTTAGCATTTGGCATCTGTGGGAGATACTTTTTTTTTCTTTTTCTTAAAGATCCTGCATGTCTCAGTTTCTTCTGAACTTCTGAACTGATTATGATTCCTGCCAAATATACCCACGTTCAGTCTGAAATAAGCAAAAGCTTTAGGTAAAGATTAGGGAACGAAAAAGTGACTGATACATTTATTTCAGTGGAATTATTCTTTTGGCAAGACAGTTCTAATCCAAAGCCAGCTACAAGACATCTGAATTATGCTTGGAGAAGGCTCCATATGAATCTAATTGATCCTGAACTTTTTAATCCAGAAAATGAAGTATAAAAATAAAGCATATGTGTGTTAGCTAAAGGGGAAGGTACCCTAATTATAGGAATGAAATCTTAGGGAACATGAAGTCTAAATTATCAGACTGAAGGCTAAACTCAACATTGGTGAGGCCTGCAATGAGCTAAACATACCATGTGGAGTTACCTCTCCCCCTTTTCAGCTGCTATACTGAATTAAAGAGACCTAAAAATATATGGGGTAATTGGATTGAAGCAAAAGAACATGTCTCAACTAATGCAACAGCAGCTGCTTAGAAAAATAGGAAGCTTACTATGCTTCATATTTGTCTTTCACTTAATCTGGAAAAGCTCTAAGCCCATCTCCTGCTGCTTTAAGCATTTATAAACTAGAATGCAAACATCAAGGGAAAATCACCTTATTTGCTGGACAACTCACTGTGGGAGAGTCAGAACCAAGCACTGGTGCAAGATAGGTGACTCATAGGACAACAAGTTTTCATACTAAGAAGGATAGAAATCCATACTGTGAGAGGGAGCTGCCATGAGAGTGTACTCTCTTGAATACAACACTAACTTTTTCACCTTGGATTTTTCTGATATTCTGCTATGACAACACAAGAACCATATAACTTCATGTCTTCAACTTGTTCAGAACAATCTCCCTGTAAGTATCTTAAAGTCATACACAAATCTTACTGAAAGCATATCCCAGAACCATTTAATAATATAATTGTTAGAAAACAGAATGTTTATCAAGGAGGTTTGGATCAAAAAATCTCCCAGTGATTTTATTCCACGTTTAGCCAGAAAATAAACCAAGCCCAAGACTATCAAATCTAACCTCTGTATTCAACTCTTTGATGTGGTCACCTTTCACAGAAGGAAACAATTGACAAACCGAAGGTGACACTGATTAAGTGGCTCTACCAATTTACATATAACCTGTAATAGTAAACAGTATCAGAAAGCATGTCAAACTTTCACCCAGCGACAACAAAGTTGTCCTTTAAAGTCCACTCCTAGGTACGAGAGGCCACTGGCACTATCAGCTTACAGAGTCAGTAAGGCTCTCTCAATCACTTTGACAGCATGCTCCAACTCAAAGATTTATTTATTTTATTAGCAAATGTATCTATTCATTCTCTGCAGTTAGCATTGGATGTAAGCATGCACTAGTTTATCAGACTTGGCCCCAGCAGTTTTTTCTTTGGTATGGCATTTTAATCATTATATTCTCCTTGTTGACTGCAGGTAAAATCCCTTGCAGATCACTGTTCATCAGGCTTTTATTGCCTGAGAATTATTCTACGTAAGCATTCACTAATTTTACCTGTTCTTTGATGGACGATTTCACACATTTCACAAAGGGATGTTGAGTGCTTAATGGGGCAGTTTTATCTTAACAAATGTAAAGTACTATTTAGATCACATTTTCAATTGTCATTTTAATGTCAAATGCTGTTTCTCAGTTGCTGTTTTTTATAAGACTTTGCTTAGTCCTTATAAACGAAGATTCCCCTGAAAAAATGAAAAGCATTTATTGAGTAAAGCTTTCATTCACTGTCTAGCTTGTTGGAAGACATAGAGATCCAGCACAACCCTTAAGATAAGTGAATTTATATTCCTACAGAAGATAGAAGTTTGTAATTCTTCAGCAATTCTATCTTGCCTAATAGTATACTTAAGAATCAAGATGGAAATGAAGTCACTGTTTCAGCTCATCAATTACACTTCTTATACTTCTTGTTATAGAAACTGGGCATATTTAGGAGAAATGAAGACCAAGAACAGCCACTGAATTAGCAGGCACAGGCCTTACCAGTGCAGAGTAAGCTGGTGGAAGAACTCTTTCAAGCCTGCCTTTATATAAGAATAAAGCAACTATTTCTAATTTTACCATACTAGTGCTAGAATTAGATACAGGCTACTAGTTCACATATGCAGTTCTTAAAAGCCTGACATTCTTTACCCAAAACAAAATATTTCAAAGGATTTCTTACCAGTCTCACAATGGGGCACTTAGCAGAGATACAGAAGCACCAGCAAGAAAGTCAGAAAATAGTTAAGTGTTTATTTAAGGCATCCTGGATACACAGTATTAAAACCTCCCATGGAATTCAGCTTAAACTATGTGCAACTACTTATCTTTTTATATTAAAAAAACAACAAAAACAAAACAATTATTAGACTAGAAAATAGCTTAATAATCCCCCATAGTGCTTGCATGTAACTCAATGCAGAGTTCTTTTGAACACCCATTCTACAGAAAAGCCTCTGAGATCTTTAAACATGAAGGTTTGTTTTCCAGGCGCTTATCACAGAATTTCCTTCAGCATAACATATGTTCCTTCTCCTAATAATACACAATACATTATGTTTCATATCTGCCTTGAAATATTCAGTAAAACAGAAGAAAACCTATTTTCGTAGTATTGTAGTTAAGTACAGAGAGAATACAAAGCCACATATTTTTGTTCGAATTGCAAACTTGCTAAGAGAATTAGTCTAAGTGTATTTTCACATTTGTTTGGGATAACAGTAGCTAGTTATCAGGCAGCACTTCACAGCTGTGTAATTTCTTATCACAATTCAATTAGATTAAAGAATTCATCCAGAAGTCTTAATAACTGTAGACAACAACTTTTGCTGATATTACTAAATAAACTAGTTGATTATTAAGCAGAAAGTTGGCTGCTCCAAGCTTACTTGTATATCCATGAGTCCTAACACCAAAAACCTAAGACACCCTGCAAGCATGACTCCAAGTGTTTTCAACTGGATAGATTTTCACTGTAAAACAGTAAGAACATCATTACTACTTTGTCCGCAGAGCAGGATTCTTTTTTATTCTGTGTTGAATACCTGACTTTGTTTTTGAGGTAGCATACATTTGCTATACAGTTGAATTCCAGACTAAGGAGGTCGGTGTCTTTGGTCACTACCATGGAGATGTAGCTTGACAGGTGTAAGAAATTTCATGGATTCTTTTTTAAGTATAGCACTGGCGATGGCTTTTTCTAAATTTAGATGTGTACCTGGAACTAGAACTTTGCCTTTTCAAATCACATCTTCCTCCACATTCTCCTTGGCATTCCTGCACAAAGATTAACCACTGTCCTTTTATTCAAAAGTTCTCTTCAAATCAGCACTCTCCAAAGACAAAGAATCTCATTCTGTAAAAGTTGTTTAATGTGTACTAAAAATGGCACATCAAATTGAAAACTTCTGTGAAAATATTAGAATCTTACAAAATGCAAGATCTGTGAGACCTTGGTTCTGAAGTAAAAAACTGCTCCATACTGTCTGCAAAAAGATGCCATGAGCAGGATGCAGCAAATAGCAACAAACATTAATATACTTTCAGTGCTTTTGGCAGTAACTCAATAGCACCAGAGGTAACTGCTAGAAAATAGTATTTGTGTGTATTAACAGCATGTATAACAGGGCATAACTTGTGATAAACAAGGCATACGTACTGTCCAGTGTTCTTTCTTTTAAAAAGAAAAAGTTTGAATGTTTAACTTTGAAAAGATAAACTTGTGCCTAGATAAAAGTGCAGGCAAAGAGATGTCTCATCCCAAATTGAAAGACGCCAGAAACAGCATAAAAAAAAAATAATCACACGTTGCACAAAAGATAGCTAAATATTCAAAAATTTACAAAAAACAAAGTAAGCTCACAATACTGAAATGCTTCTAATTCCTAACTGTAAAGATTTTTAAAAGTGCCAGATAATTTTTATTTTGAAAAATACAAACAGTGCAAAAAATACTGACTTAAGTAAATGACGGAAGTCTAAACTAGAGTAGTGGGAATTAAAACAGAATTCCATTATTTTTGTTATTAAAGGCATTATGTGGTACTTTTTCATAGTTTTACAGTGCAACGTGATTAAGCCTTAATCAGGCTTTCCTACTTGGGACACTGTGCTGTGAACACTTGGCAGCACAAGTCTGGGTATCCAAACAAAACGTGAGAATCAAGAAGTAAAAAGAGAGGTGAATCATGTGATACGAAGAAAAAAAAAAGTAACTGTCACGTTTTGAAAGTTATTTTAGCATCTAAGAATTTAAAGCTATTAATAAATACAAAAATTACCGAACTTAAAAGCACTATAAAAATGTGAACTTTTAGACTTAGAAATCCAACGTATGCACCTAGACATCTGAATACATTCCAAAAGCATACCATACAGATTCTGAAGGCAAACAACAACATATCATACAGCCTTAATCTCATCTCATGTACATTAAAAAAAAAAAAAAAATTCAATCAGCCTCATCTAAAATATAAACATTTTCACAGGTTGTCATGTATTGTAAGCTACTTATTCTGTTTTCTTTGCCTGTCTCTTCTTAACACCATCACGGGGCTGCTCTGAGGACGACTGGTCACAGACTGAAGAGCCATTGGAAGATGAAGCACCTTCACCCTTCACTTTGGGTGGTGGTTTTTGCAAGCCAAAGAACATATGGCTCAATGCTGACTCAATGGGAGCAAATGGAGAAGCTGTAGATCTTGTCAACATCATTGTTACCTATGAGAACAGTCAAGTTGCACTGTAAGTTTCAATCACTTCACAGTAGTTGAAAAAAAGTTCCATGATAAACCAATGTATGGCACTTCCAACTTGCAAACTGAGCACTAAGAGTCCATGCCATCAAGAACAGAAACATGCTCACTATAGCTTGAAATCATCAGCAAATATTTCCCTTTCTGACCTACACTTTTTAGATAGCTACATACAAGCAACCCTTGTATGTAGCTATCTAAAGCTATGTAAAGCTACATAGATTTACTAAAATCATCCTAAGAGTAAACCTTTATTGGTGTCATACCACAAGGCCTTTATTTGTTTAGGTGAAGAGCTGTGAGCATTAGTTTGAAGTCTTGTCTCCCTAAAGCAACTTCCTCAGAAATGAACTTGTCTACTACTTCACAAAAGTGAGACTGACAACAAACATTTTGCTCTCTAGTCTATTCAACAGCAGCTCAGAAGCTCTTAAAATTGCTAGACTTCTGCTAACACACAGAGGCTACACATTTCCTATTAGCTAATAATCCTGAAGACAAGCATCATCCTAGAAATGAACAATACTAAATGAGTCAAGGACTGAAATTAAGTGATGCTGTGTAAGAAAATACTATTATTTACCTTTAATGTATTAACTGCATTGTTTTTACAGCATTGTAATAATATGTGACATGCATATACAGACTAAAACCTATTTAGTTTCTTTTGCAAACCCATCAATGACTGCACATATAAGGCAAGCATTCAGCAGCTAGCAAAAGGCAGAGGAGTGTTTCTTTCCACAAACACCAACTTTGTTTGAGTTTGTGTTAATAAAAGGCTACCATGCCAACTCTTGGAAGCCAAAATTCATGATTTCACCTCACTCCATATGCTGAACAGCATGAGAATAGGTCTTCTGTTCATATAAGCAAGACTAAACAGCTTCAAGACTTCTGCAGAAGCCATCCACCCCTCCTAGAAGCAAGCTTTATAACTTGCAGCATAATGTTCGAGGACTGAAAAAAGGTATTTTTTAAAATCAGTTATTTGCAACACCTTCAGATTCTTACCTTGGAAACTACAAGAAAGATGGTGTATAGAAACATAAGGTTGTGTCTTGCGATTGGCAAGTACTGGCTGTGCTGCAGAGTGAAGAGAACTGCTCCTATCAAAGTTACCTTCACAGGACTGAAAATTAAACAAACAATGTTAATTTCTCTTTCCTACACTACTCTGACAAATTTCATGGCCTGGAAAACAAATATTCTCAGCATGCACAACAATTATTTCTAAATAAAAGAGACAAATACTTGCAGTGACAAAGTAAAAAACCACAGTGTTATTAAACTATGACTTTCATTTCATACAACATTATTATGCTTGCTGTATTATAGACAAGCATCAAGTTCAACATTGATTTATACAGCCAATAAATTTCTATTTCACAAATACTCCTCAAATTAAAATACATCCTAATGCTTCTATTTAGATTCTACATACTAAGCTGCTCCTTTTCCTCTTCTCAACATGCACTTTACTGGACAGATAAATTACAAATCTTTATTACTCAGATTTGACTTAAAAACATATTCCTCCCCTATATTAGAGGAGTTAGTTATTCCAAGCAGTTGTCACAGGTGTCAAAGAGTGACCTTATTCAAGTCTCATTCCACTGCGACACTCCACCAGTTCTACAGTTGTGATCAGCTGACAGTTGGCTTGATATAGGCCTTTGTTACCAAGTTTTGTCAACATAGCTGTGTTGACTTGCAACACAGAAAGATATACATCTTTAATCTACCTTCCTCATGATGGTACTTGAGCTGACATGTATGCAGTCAGAAAACATGAGAACTTTCTGTCAAATGAAGTCATCCTACATTTTTGCTATAATGAATAACCAGTTTGCACCTTCTCAAATAATCAGAATCTTCAGTGGAAAAAGTGCTGGCAGAGAAAGTAAGAATGTTCAAAGGAAGCCATATTGCTGATGTTCAGAATGTGCACTAAAACCACAGACTTTACTCATGTATTTGTGGTACTTTTCATTTTGGACTGAAGGCCGTGCTCCTCCGTAACGTTCTCCAACAATTTCCAACCACTGTTTAGCCATCATATTGACTTCTTCCTATTTGGTATTCTTGCACTGCAAACCCCAAATGACCAAAAGATAGCTAAAATTACATAAGATCAACAGCCAATCTTTCACAAGATAAATACCAACCATCTATTATAAACATTTCTGTTTGGGTTTCATTTTCTTTTTTTTTTCCCGTATTTTTAAATGTGAAGTGTCAATACAGGAAGTTATTAAAACAGCAGTTAACACATTGTATTTGTTTTTAAAAAACTTACTAGGACATCTTCAGCAGTTCATTGGTTTCAGGTTTCCACACTCCTCTCACCAACTGCTCGAAGTTGGAGATTAGACCACTACCAGCTCCTGAAATTCCAAAGATTAACAGTAAGCCTTCACTGGCATGCTACCGCTGCTGCACAGCCTACTGTTGCTCCAGCAAAACTTCTTAAACCAGGCGCCAAATATGGCACCCAAAGCTCAGACTTAAAGAGGTTAATCCAATCTTTGATATGTGCATGACTTGAGTGACCAAAAGGAAACTTCAGGGCTTCAGTTAGGAAGAACGCCAGGTTCACCTTTACACAGCAATCGGAAATGACACACTGATCACTGCAAACAAGTGCCAAACCTGATAAAGTAAATCGCTACAGAAGCTTATGGTATTCCATTCTTGTTTGCAACTAAGTACGGAGAATGTGAGTACAAAATAGGAGAATCTTCCACAACAGAAGACAGATGTGTGTTTTATATTACAGAGAGGCAAAACATAACCAGGTATTAGAAATTCTGGCCAGTAAAACTGATCTGTATCATCAACTGAAAAAGTTATACAACAGACAGATCTTCATATGAACACATTGTTTCCCAAAGCCCAGCAGCATTAAACAAATAGATTCAAGATCTGCAGCACTACAACCTGACTTCTTACTTTGTCACTATAAATACAGCTGTTAGGAAGGTAGATTCCAGACAGCATGCAGGCTAGAAAGGTAATTCCTGTGTTTAAAATAAGCTCACGTTAGCAATAAAAAAAGCTAAGACAACCTGTCTTCTACAGCCACGTGTAAGGAAAACATTTCGGAGGACACATGCTTTTGGAAAGATTAGTGACAGCAGGAGATCTACTTCCTCATTGCCACCAACTGCCCATCCTAGAAGTCCTCACAAGACCTTCTGAAAGGATAAGATGAACTTGCCTCAAAGTCATTCAGTGTCACCCTTACCCAGGCAGAAAAGCTGCCGCACAGACTTCTCCCTTGGGGGGATAACAGGCTGTATTAGGACTATCATATTCATCACAGCAAGGAACAGTGCTAGAGTTATGCTGAAGGGCTAGGCATTTAAATACCACTCCAAAATATCATAACTCATCAGAAGAAGATGTTATGCATGTTACCTCTGGCCCAGCCCACAGCTATCATGACAAGCCAGGCATCTTCAAAATGACTGTCTGCATGCGCAACGCCAGCCACTATTTTCCAAGTCCTAGTCACTTCTTTCATTGCTGCAACCAGAAGCCGAAGAGGCAGAAACGCAAAGCACTGGTAGAATTTGTCTTGTGGGCAATAAAACACAAGATACCTGAAAATCATATTGAGAAAATCTGTTACCAGTGTTCAAATATTTCTGCTAACAAATTCACTAGATATTCCTTGAATGTGACTAGCAAAACTTGATACACTCCTGACAGCTCAGTTTCTTATACTGCAGATATTAGAATGAATCTGAAATGCTTTTGAGCCTGTTTGAGCTCTTCTACCAAATCATGAAACATTACTATCGTTGTTGCCTCACTGTCCAGATGAGAATCCCTTAAAGTAATCAGAAGGAGCTTTAAATTTTCACAGAATATTCCAAGTCGGAAGGAACCCACATGAATCATCAAGTCCAGCTCTTGAAACTTCTTTCAGCAATGGTTCCGTAGTTTACATACCATATTCAGATTATTCAAATTATTAAATTGCTGTCTGACTTTGTTTTTGTTTTTTTACCCCCAGAAGTAAGACAAGGTGATAAATTATGTGCTGACAGTATGCTTCCCTCTGAAAGTTGTATGGAATTACATAATTGCAGCAAGAATGCCTCCACTAGTTAGTATCACGCCAGACAAAACGCACAGCTATTTTCAAACCCATTTGAAACCCATTTCACATCTCAGTAACCACTGATTCTGGTTTTCCCAGCTTTTCAGTCACAAGTACATTTCTTTCTTCAAAGTGTTAACAAAACAACTGAAGGTATACCTAAAATGTAATTATTTTTTTTTTTTTAAATCAGGTTATTTTCAAAATAAAATAAAGATACTTAACAATGAAATCCTAAGTTGACAGTAAATTGTGTTTAGATTATGTGATGTTTTACTTTATCTCCTCAATCATAACCAAATTTGAATTCTTAAGCAGACAGTCAAGGTCTCCTCTAAATAAAAGTTAAAAAATAAAAACAACAAAAAACATAAGCATCTATATTAGAATAGAAATAAAGCAGCAATAATGAAGTGAAAGCAGAGACAACCTGTAAAAGACAGAAGATTACATCTTCATTTTTCTGAAAGAAATACCTGCCTCTTGGTTTAGGCTTCTGAGTTCAATCTAGTCTACCAAGAAGTACAAGGGCTGTATCTTTTCCCAGTTTTCTCAGGCAGCAAGGTAGAGATGTGCATCTCTTTCTCTAGTTCACTCCATCAAAACAACTATCACACACCAGAGCCAGGAAGAGTCAGTCATGTTTCTTGGTTTGAGATTAGAAAGTATGAGAATACTTAGGTGTTTTTCCAGAAATAATGCCTATTCTTAACAGCAGAATGCCATGATGCTCTATAGGAAAGCACAATTTATGCATTTCTTTTTGCTGCAGTGTACTAAGTATCTAGAGTTTTCAGTATCACTGAAAACATATAAAGCTTTTTCTCTTTAAGACCTCCCAGACTGAAGCATACAATAGCCTTTTTCTCAAATACATGGAAGCTATTGGAATTTACAGTAATAGCTAACTATTGCTCCTACTCTATTAGTTCTAGCACTGTTTTCAATTGCTTAAATTTCTTCCTTTATCTCCTATGGCAAATTCAATTGCCTCTGCAGCAACCAAACTTCAGCTGGTATGTCATAGATGTATATAGAGCACGCATTTTGGTGGCTACTGCAAATAGCCATTTAAGCTATGTAATCAATACACAACACTAACCAGAATTAATTTACAATTGCAAAACGAGTGTTTATGACATCAAAGCATAGATAACTGGATTGAATTCAAATTGCACCACTACTCCACCACATTTCAGCCTCTAACTTCTGTTAGTAAAGCTTGCTAACAGTAGATGTCGCTGTCCTACAGTCTATTTAGGAGCAATTCTTGAGCCTAGCACAACCCCTTTCATTTTCCAGTTTTATGTGTGATCTGGGGAATTTTGCTTCATGTGTCTTGAGATCAAGAATTCAAGTTATTATACTAATGAAGAGAGAACTCAAAACTAAAACCTTAAGAAGTTTCATAACATTCACAGGTTCTCATTAAAACCTCATTTTATTTCAGCATGTCACATTTGTCCACATCAAACAAAAGTTACGTTCTCTTTACCTGTCCTGTCCGAGTTTCAGCTGTGACAGAATTTTTTTCTAGAGAGTATGGTATGATGCTATGTTTTGGTTCTAGGAGAAAAATAATGTTAATAACACAGTGATGTTTAGAGAAGCTACTAAGCAGTGTTGTACAGAGCCAAAGCCATTGATAGTGAAGGCCCCAAGGAGATGGGAGGGAACTGAATCAGGATAGCTGACTTAAACTGACCAAAGGGATATTCCATACCATATGACATCAAGTTGTAGGAGTTTTGAAGGCTATGGGAGTTCATCTCACTCTCTTCCCCTGTTCAGGGTCTAGCTGGATAGCAGTAAGGGGGTGGTAAGCAAATGCTTGCGCATCACCTGTTACCTATATTCATATATACATACATACTTTTTATTGTTGTTGTTATAATTATTACTCTTTTCCTTTTCACTATCTTAGTAAACAGTTTTACCTCAACCCACAAGTTCTACTTTGTTTTTCTCTAGCCTTTCCCCCATCCCACTGGTAAGAAAGGGATTGAGTACGTGGTGCTGAGCCACCTGCCAGGTTAAACCACAACAGCTCATTTGGCACCCAACATGGGGCTTCTCACAGGGACTGGAGTGACTACAGGACTGGCTGTGAGGATCACAACACCTGCAGGGCCTGTCAGAAGGGCTATAGTAACTGCAGAATCTGTCACAAGGGAGTCAGAGCAACTGCAGGACCTGTTACAGGAGCTGGAGCGGCCACAGGGTCCATTGTAACAGTGGGAGCAGCCACAGAGCTTGCTGGAGGAACTGGGACAACGTAGCTCCTTGGGACCTTTGCTGTGAAGATTCTTGGCTCTGTACAACACTGCTTAGCAGCAACTACAACCATCAGTGTATTATCAACATTGCTTTTCTCCTAGAACCGAGCCACAGCACCACACCAGACACTGAAGAAAACCATTTTGTCCCACCTGGGAATAAGACACCTCCTAACTCAAGTATTATTTGTTAAAAGTGTCTAATATAAACCAGAAGCTGATTCTGTAAATATTTTATCAATACACATTTAATTGTAGGCTATTCATCTCACTGATTTGCTTAAATTTGTCTGCATCTTCCACTACAAACCAGAAGACTAACACAGATACACTCATGTAGATGTAAACACTTATTTTCATTTCTATGGTTTGCAATTGTAAAACTTAAGAGGCAACAAGGAAGGATTTCAAGCAGCTAATACTCCTGTAAAATAGGAATCTACTGCTGCTCACAAATTTTGTTAAATTTGAGGATTCCTTTCAAGGTCAGAGCAACAAACTGATCTTTCAAACAACTGACTTCCACTGCAGGGTACCTTCACATGAAAATAACTCCAGTACTATTTACAAACTCCAAAACAGGCCAAATTACTGCCATGTTCACATACCTGACTTCCCATTCAGCTCTCTATTGGCTTTCACTATAACCCCATCCTTTTAGGAAAGCAATATGGGAAAGGGCAAAAGACAGAAAAAAAAAAGAAAGAAGACACTGGAAGAGAAAAAAGAATATCCATATCTTAGCTCCCCAGCTGAAAAAAGTTCAAGAACTTTATTTCAATCATGTTCTGGTCTTCAGAAGTTACCACTGAAAATACCAGATGGCATTTATGACCTCTCTGTATCCAGGGAAGCAATAACTGAAGTCTGTTTTACTCTGGATAATCTGCTTGACAAGGAACACCATAAAAATATAAGGAAAATGTAGTGACTTAGTTATAAAGCAATTTGTAAGAGTTGCTCTTTTTGAACATTTCATTTCTACAGAAAGGGTTCAAACCAGCTGTTTTGCTGCAGTGACTTCTCTGGTGAAGAGAGAGCATCTAAATTCATGATATTTCTAAGTTAAGCTTGATGATATAATCTTACTATTTACAGTCAAAGTACAGCTTCCTTAGAATAAATACACTCACGTCACTCAATTGTGGCTGCTTACCAGACTGAAGATGCCAGTAGAATGTTTGTGGTCTTTGCCAAAAATGCTACTGGAGGTTCTCCAAGCATCAAGGAAGACAAAACAGATCCACCAAAGCAGCAAAGCATAGCACTAAACCAGCAAGCAACCGGACTGCGGATTGACACTTCCACAGCTCCTAAAGCAAAGAGAAAAGATATGTAAACAGAAGCAAACACTTGAAAATCGTGTTACATTTGAAAACACAGTATTTTTTAAGACACACAGTCTTGCAAGGTTCCTTTGGATCACGAAAAACCATACACAAATCTGCAGGCCTTCACAGGAGAAGTCTTTGCTAAATGCAGACTTTCTACAACATGAAGTGTACACTATCTATAAAAGTGAAAAAATGACGCAGTGTTCTCTCAGCATTTTTTGTGGGTTGGTTCAGCCTAACTACTTTGCTACCAGTAACAGCTTTCAAAGTGTGGTCTGAGAGGGTTTGTTGTTTAAAATTTGTTGTAAAGCTGCTTTTGAATTTTTATTAAGAATACGTAATTGCTTTGCTGACGAACAGGACTGGTATTAATACAGCTACTTTCTGAAGATTGTTCTACAACTTCTATTTCTGCTATGAATTCAAGTTTTTTCCTCTTAAAACCCTCCTAACAACGTTCACTGGGTAAAATAAAAGCACAACCCAAAGTAATTAAGCAACTATTGTTTTACCTGCAGTCCTGAACAGGCAAAAATGTTTGCCCAAAGATGTAGAATAAATTTAAGCTTCACTTGTTATTAAAAGCTTCACTGTTTCATCTTTAAAATCTTAAAAATTAATTGCTTTTTAAATTGCAATTCAACCATACCAGAAGAGTTTTCAATAGCAGAAGATTATGCTGGAGTAAAGAAAAAAGGAATCTTTAACCATTTCTAAGGGGAAAAAACACTTTATCAAAGCCAAAAATATCTTGAAATCATTGTTTTTATTTTCTTCCACTTCAGGAGCTCGTCACTTTCAAATCTCCCCCCTTATGAAGAGGTAGGGCTCAGTTTGCCTAAACTAACTGTATTTTTTGTAGTCCAAAAGCTAAAGGTCACAAAAGCAAAGATGAAAACTAGTGTCTGCCCCCAAAGTGAAATGTAGCATTTGGCAAATGATACAGCAGAATTATTTTGCAAGAATTCTACGGGAAAAGAAGGTTCTTATCAAAAAAGGGATGTGTAAATGTATCAGGGAGAATCAGAGAGCACTCTCACTACAACTCACTTTAGACAAGACTATCAACAATACTGCTCCAGTTGTAAGTGTTAGTGCAGTATTACAGCACAAGGAGATCACGTATAGAAGAAGCATCCCAAACTTTACAGACTAACAAGAAAAACTTGGATGATGGTAGCAGCCACCATAAATCACAAATCACTCGGGATCACAAGCCACAAGGGCACAAGGCTGTTAGTAAATATATGTCAGCAGTTGTGCTATGCACTACTTCAATTCCTGGCCTGATGTAATACTAAATGTAATCTGCACAGTGATCTGTTTTTGGAGCAAGACTGGTAATCACGTTATCACAGGAGGTTCCACACACAAGAATTACTATCCTCCAGACCAGGTGCAGAAGAAATCTCTCATTTTATCCATCATCAGGTGGGCCTGCACCAACCTCTCCTTCATTAGCACAATGCTTCTCACCTGGCATTAGCAGAGAAGTAATCATCTTAACATCTTACTTGTGACCTCCTGGAAAATACTGAACTGCGCTCCTCCCTCCCCTAGGCACAGCACAGCTGAGAGCTAGTGAAAAGAAAGCCTCCTTCACCTCACCAGGTGTTTGGCAAGATTACTGACTGAAGGAAAGGAAACCATTGCAGGTGCTGTGTCTTCCTGAAAAAATAGGATTTTACTGATGATCAGTAGGAGAATTTTCTTAGTTAATATATCACTATACAAGCAAAAGGCAAAATAAGTTTATCCCAATTTAAAGCCTATATTAGCACCTAAATTACAAATGGGATGTAATTTTCAGAAAATAAATGGAGTTTTAAGTAGGTCACGTATTTTTTAAACAAGGAGTCATTTATTTTTGTCCTCTAGTGCACCATGAAAAACTAATGAGGCATCACACAACCATGCAGGATATTATCTGCCAAAAGGCCACCAGTCCTGCAAATGGTGTATTTTAGAAAGCAGAGATAAGGTTTCAAAATACAAAGATTATCATTGAATGCAGTTTTAAATATTATTTCTAGATGATATTAATAAAAAGCTTTGCCAGCTTATTCTGTAAGTAGGTTAAGTTCTGCTTTAGGCTTCCTAACATGTTCTAAACAGGCAAACAAGAATATATACCACAATACATCTAAAGATCAAACTAGAAGCACTTCTAGAAAAGTTTTCCCAGCATTCCAGTTGAACTGTACATACTGTGAATTAGGCTAAAGCCAGACTTAAGCCAAATTTTTCTAAGATTTAGAAAAAGGGTGCCAAAAGCATTAGTTCTCCTCACATAACTTGGATCCCATATCAGAAGACTTTCAAGACCAAAACTAGCCCGTTCCTTCCAAACGCTGCATTTCCACAATCCTCAATTTCTGTTTTCTTCTGTTCCCCTTTCCTTCTACCTCCTCCAAGAAAATATGACCCCAAACTTACCATCTGGACTTACAAGCGGTTGGTTAAGCAACCCCAAATGTACTGAGCAAGAAATCTTAGCTTAGTTGATGCACAAAGCAACATACTGGTTGTCTCTGCTACAGTTCATCAGTACTCACAAGAGAGGAAGAAAATCTAGCTAGAAAGACTGGGAAAATTCCCAGTTAGTACGTGCACATCCATCATAAAAATACACCTAATCTGGTGTTTAGCAGTTAGTAATTTAATGAAATGCCAACTGAGATAAACAAACTTAGCTGTGACATGACTACATGCTTCCTGTGCCAACAGACACTTAATCGCTACCCAATTATCCATGTGTGGAAGAGAAATTTCTGAGAACACAAAGAGCAGTGCTGCAGTGGCACCGGCTGCCCAGGGAGGTGATGGAGTCACCATCCCTGGACGTGTTCAAGAATCATGTGGACACGGCACTGAGGGATATAGTTGATGGGCATGGTGGGAAGCGTTGGTGATTGCATGTGAACATCTTGGAGGTCTTTTCCAATCTTAATCATTCTGTGGTACAATACTCAAACTGTCTGCAAGCAAACAATAAACCAGCATGCAGTCACTGTAATTACTTTTATTAATTCTGAGTATTAGGGTATACTCAAAAGCTCTGAACTTTACAGCTACAAGGTTGAAAATTAAATTTAAAAAAAGCACAAACCATCACTTTCGCTGTCCTGAGGTTATGTCCCATTGAAGCTACACTACACTCAGCACAGCACTGCAGAGCAACTCCTACTGCTCAACTCCTCTCATGGGTGTTCATTCCAAAAGAAAGTCTGAAGGCAATGCATTTTAACCACCTTTAGATAGGCAGCTCCTTAGATAGAAAGTTGCAGAAATGTACTGAAGTGTTGCATGTCAGCACCCAGAAACAACTTCAGCCGTAGCAACAAGCCGTGGTGAAGATACCAGCACTTTAGGCTGGCCTTCACTGCCTGTTAAGTGCACTTATGCAGCAGGAGGTAAACGTTCACCTAGACACGCTTCACGAGTGACCTAAGAATCAGCTCTCAGTAAGCACACAGAGCGCTGCAGCTCCCAGTCAGCTCCACAATCCTCAACGCCAGATCCGTTTCCTGCACGGTTATCAGCCCGAAATCACTCCACAGGTGGCTACGCTAACACAAGGCGGTCTCTATGCTTAGGACAAGGAGAAGGGGGATCTGGGGATAACAGTGACAGTGAAGGCGATGTGCTGGAAAAGAGTAAGCGGGGGCTGAAGCGTCGTCCCGACGTGCGCCACACAGACCGCCATGGGACGCCTCTCCCATACGGGGCACAGCGCGACCCGCCCCGCTCCCCGCGGACCCCGCGCCGCTCACCCCGCTGCTCCTTCAGCGCCATGACGGAGGCCATGTAGTGCGCCAGGTCGAAGAAGGGGAACATGGGCAGGCGGGAGAAGAGCAGCGGCACCTGCTCCAGCTCCATGGCGGCGGGCGCTTGGGAGAAGCGTGGCCCTCGCCGGGAGCCGTCGGAGGGCGGAGCGGCGGTGCGCTGGGCCGGGTCTGATCCCAGCTGGTGGGGGGGGTGGGGAGCGTCCGTCTGTGAGCTCGCTGGTTTCCTGTTGAACTTTATTTGCTCTCGGTTTCTTTCTCTCTGTGCTTGAGCGCAGGCATGATAACCAGTTATTTTCTAGAGCAGCATATTGCTTTCCACAGCTGACAGGAGGTGATACATTAGTAGCTGCATCCTCTGGCGGAAAGCGGGTCGGTATGGTTTTGTCTCCCGCTGAGTGCTGACGTGTTCCTATGCAGCAGCAGAGGGTTTCCTGGCAAGGTGTTCTGCCCACGAGCTGTGGAAGTTGCCGTACCATTTCTGCTCCTTGCAGTACTGCTTCATGCCACGGAGCGGCACCGGCCTCGTTACCAGCAGGTGGGATCAACGAGAGCCGAATGTTCGGCAACGACAGCAACAAAAATTGGGTGACGTGAAAGAAAATGTGGGCCAGCGACACGTGCGTGGTGGCAGTGTTTACACCGCAGACATTATAAGCTAGTTACACTTAGTGTATTAGTAAAACATTGGCTTAGTGTTTTTTTTTTATTTTAAACTAGGAGATCTCCCCTCATTTCTTGTGGGTGAGGTGATAAAAGGAATATTGTGTTTATAAGAAATTTTAAAATGGTCTGATGAGTATTCTGCTGTGTTCATAGAATCGTTGAATGGCTTGAGTAGGAAGGGACCCCAAGATCATCAATTTCCAACCCTCCTGCCACTGGAAGGGTTGCCAACCTCCAGATCTGGTACTAGACCAGGCTGCCCAGGGCCCCATCCAATCTGGCCTTAAACACCTCCATGGATGGGGCATCCACAACCTCTCTGAGCAGCCTTTTCCAGCACCTCACCACTCTCTCTGTGAAGAACTGTACCCTTGCATCCAATGTAAGGCTTCCTTCCTTATGCTTAAAACCACTGCCCCTTGTCGTACCAGTGTCTACCCTTGTAAAAAGTTGATTCCCCTCCTTTTTATAATCCCCTTTTAAATACTGGAAGGCCACAGTGAGGTCTCCTCAAAGCCTTCTCTTCTCCAGGCTAAACAGGCTCAGCACCCTCTTTGCAGGGCAGGTGCTCCAGGCCTCTAATCATCTTAGTGGCGCTCCTTTGCACCCTCTCCAACAGCTCCACGTCCTCTCTTGTACTGGAAGCCCCAGACCTGCACGCAATACTCCGAATGAGCTTCAGAAGGGCAGAGTAGAGAGAGACAATCACCTCCCTGTCCCTGCTGGCCACCCCTCTTGTGATGGAGTCCAGGATACCATTGGGATTCCATGGTGCATGAGGTGTAAATCTCAGCATAATAAGAATAAGAATAAGAATAAGAATAAGAATAAGAATAAACAGCAACAACAAAGAAAAAAAAAAAAAAGCAGTAGCTCTGCATCCACATATGCCAAAGTTTTTTGTTTTTTGTTTTTTGCAGAAGTATGTTGGCTTTTTTTTCCAGTACAATAATGATAAATTAATACAAATGTTTTCTGAATTTTCTTCAGAAAACATTCTAGCTATTTATGAAGTTTTCTACTTACAAAACAGCTGTGAAAGTCTGAGGTATCACACGCTTGTCTGCTGTTCTTGACAGCTGCCTTACTTCATGTTATAACTGATCCTGGACAGACAGTTGTTATTAGTCCATTCCAATCAAAGCTAAAACCATTATGTAATGCTGGGCAGTAGCAGAGTGAAGTGGTGAAGAAAACTGGTTTCAAAGTGAATTCAAATCCACATCTTTAGTCTTTGTAGAGCACGAGATTAGTTAGTTGTTATTCTGTACATCTTACAAAAGCCATGGAGAATCTGAACTAGAGTATTCATACCCAATTAATAATGTTGTATTCATTTCCTTTGGCAATTAAGGTGGTATAATTTTCGAAGAGAAGGTCTGTGTTCCTAGCTTGGAAGCACGATCTGGTTTCCTGCTTCTGAAGTTAATGCTGTATATGGAATATGCTTATTTAGTGTTGTATTTCTTAATGTTTGGGATTCTACAGACACTGGCTTGGAATTGAAAGATGGTACCTTAGGAAAAGAGGAGAACTTATTTAATCATTAGATTGAAAACTTGCACCCCACTTTCCAAAACCAGGCAAATAGAAATGTTCATATTCTGTGGACTGCTATATTTAGTTTATTCACCTTTCTTAGATTTTTCAAACTCAAATCAATTAAGCAAAATCAATCCAGGTTAAAATCTGGCTCTTTGCTACATACAAAAATGGACACTCCCACTGTCTGCCATCACTCTGCTTTGCTCATGATCTGTGGTCGTTTGCCCACAGTGCTATCTATCTTTCATAGAGTCATAGAATCATAGAATGGCCTGGGTTGAAAAGAATCACAATGATCATCCAGTTTCAACCTCCCTGCTATGTGCAGGGTCGCCAACCACCAGACCAGGCTGCCCAGAGCCACATCCAGCCTGGCCTTGAATGCCTCCACATGGGGAGGCATTCCCCACCATCCATTCCATCCACAGGGATGGGGCATCCACAACCTCCTTGAGCAACCTGTTCCAGTGTGTCACCAACCTCTGGGTGAAAAACTTCCTCCTAATATCTAACCAAAACCTCCCCTGTGTCAGTTTAAAACCATTCCCCTTGTCCTATCACTATCCACCCTCATAAACAGCTGTTCCCCTAAGAGGATCTTTGTCCTCTTCCTGTTCAGTTCCCCATTTGCTCCATAGTTCTCTGCCTCACTTGTATTTTCCTCACTTTCCCAACAGTCACTTATCCCCCTCAGGCTTCTTACTTTGATTTTCTAGTACATTTCTGTCTCCTTCCTCTCTCTGTTGCACCCTATTTCTTTCATTATGATTCTTCACAGCTGTATCCCAGCTTTCCTTATTTTCTTGTTTGATCCATGCATTTAGTCATAGTTTAGTACAGGTCTCAGTCTCCCATTTCGCTCAGAACTTCGTCTGTTCATCTGTGAGGTCTTTTTTACTTCTCTCTTTTGCAAGTTTTTAATGAATGCATGAATGCTCAGGCTATACCTTCTCTGTGGAGCTTCAGCCTTCATAGCAAGCTGTGCAATCACTCTCCTTCTTTTCCATACTCTTTCTCCACAGGTCACTTTCTCATGTCTCTCTTAAGTTTTTGTTTGTTCAATGTTTGCTAAAGTGCTTTGATAAAAATACCTGCAAGGAGAAAGCTCAGGAAGTTAGCACAGACGTTTATTCCCTAACATAACATCACTTTATTTTCCTGGAGTGCTGGTTGATGCAAATCTGTACTGCGAAGTGGAGGCACAAAAGTGTTTCTTATCTGAGTAACAGAGTTACTCAGTGCATGAGTGCTCAGGTTTTTCATCCCTGATTAGGTTTCAGCACAGGACTAAGCATCTGCATAGTCCATCGTGTGCTTTAATGAGATGTGCTTATAGAACAGAGTTGATTTCTAGAGTGAGCTTGAACTCATACTCCAGCTCCAGATGTATCACTGGATGTTTTCTTCACAGGACTTAAATAGGTTGCAACACTGCTCACAGAACTACAGGGTGGCTACGGTTGGAAGGGAGCTCAGGAGAACATCTGGACCAACCTCTGCTCAATGGCCACCTAGAGTAGGTTAAGGGAAAGCTCTTGTGCTTTCGGAAAGGTGTCCTTAAAGATCTGTCAGTGCAATTCCTATATCCCTAAGAACAGCTTCCCAGGTGATCCCATCCAATAATTCCTTAAATAGTTTAAAGTTTGCAGTCCAGAAGTGCAGGTCCTGCCTCTGCTCTTTGCCAGGCCATGAACTCATTTCTGAAGGCCATGAACTCAACCTGCGTATGGTCACGGCAGCCCAATCTTAGCCTCTTTAATGCTCTCCTCCACATTGGTGAGCACCAGGTCCAGTAACATTTCACCTCTTGTTGCTCTGTCTGATGCCTGGACCAGGAAGTTATCCTGGAGTCTCTCGGCTTGCTTGCAACCATGTTGCTTTTCCAGCAGATATCCAGGAGTTGAAATCCCTCATCAGGATGAGAGCCTGTGAGCATTCTTGTAGCTAAAACAAGAAGGCCTCATCAACAGGCTCCCCTTGGTCAGGCATCCTGTAGTAGGCCCAATCACCAGATGTTCTTTCTTGGTCTGATCCCTATTTTTAACCCAAAGTTCTCAACTTAATCTTAGCTGCTTTTCAGAGGGAGCTCTTTGCTGTCTATCTACCTCTTGACATAGAGGGCACTCACCCCTCCTACCCAGCCTATCCTTTATAAAAAAGCTTGTTGCTTTCAGTCATCATTGTATGATTCATTTTACCATGTTTCTGTGACAGAAATTAGGTCATAGTTACCTGTCATGGTTTTGTGATTTTTGGCTTTCCAAATTTCACATCATAACATCACGTGGGGCACTGGGAGTTAAACTGCTAATGCTCAAGTCCTGGGTACCTGCCCAGAAGAGAAGAAGAACTACATTCCCCAGGGGACCTTGCGCTCAGGGAGAGGAGACAGAAGTCCTGGCAAGGTCACCTGATGCGCTCTTTTTCGTCTGCTCTTCATGGTCGGCTCTCGTCCTGTCTCCCTGCTGCTCAGGTGGACTGAGCATCTCACCTCAGCGTTGTGGTGAGGCCTATCCACCTTTCGGACATTCTCTCTCTCATTACATTTGATTTATTAGCTTCAATTCTGATTATATTGTATTATTGTGTGCTATCTTGCATTCTGATACTATACTTAGTAAATTAGTTTGTTTCTCCTCGGATTGTTGCTGCTGTTTTTAATTATTTTGGGGTCCCCTGTTCCCTTTTTCTGGAGGCTCGGATTTTGTGAAATCCCTCCACCCCGCTGGTCACGGAACTGGGCCGAACCAGCTCGCAAACCGTTGACATAATGTAACTGCGCCATGGCTTCTATTTCATACTGCTTATTTCCCATACTATGTACTTCCCAGGCACTTCTGCTGGCCTTCTTGGGGGAGGTTTTCCCCTTTGCTTCCTAAAGCGATGGGGTTCCCTGGATCTTCTCTGTCACTCAGAGAATTTACTTCCCCCATCAAATCTAGTTTAAAGCCCTGCTATATACATTGTATTTTTTGTGTTGGATGCATCAGCAGGGCAAAAGCCCAGACCTTTAAAGTTGATTGGGTATCAGAGGGTTTTAGATGTTCAGTACTTTCCAAAATCTGGCCTCGAAGAAGCAGAGGATCTGGGATTACTTTGTCTCAGATATCATGCTGTTTGTTTAATGGAATGTATTTATGTACAATGTAGCATAGGTTATAAAAACACTGGTTTGGCTCATGTCTTATAAGCTTCAGTATTTCCCAGGAAAAAGAAAAACAAATGAGATTTCCATGTGAAATCCAATCAACATGTAGTAATTTCAGAAAGTGTATTTTTTTCTATTTACACTTACTATGTTAATTTTGCCTTTCTGATTTTTTTTTTTTTTCTCCTTTGCTTAGTAATTCCACTCAATATTTTGTTTACTGCTAGATTTGCTAAATACTGATTTACATGTTGTAATGCGTGACATGCTCAGCAAACAAGATCTCAAGATACAGAGGAGCACTGCTGGCAAGATAATAGATGTCTCCTGCCCTATCAAATATCTTAGATGTAATGCTTTCCCTGAAACATTGTACAAATACAGCTGAGCCCAAAATTGAACTGAGATGACAGCTTTAAGGCAGTCATTTTTACTCTTCCATTTGTTTTCATAAAATGTTGCCCTAACACATTCCGTTTAGGGCTGTAGGACTGAACAGTCTGCTTTGCAGGAGAAATGAGAGCCATGCTACTTAAGGTGGAGTGCAGAACAAATATCTTCCTTAAATTTCCCGTTTTCTCTCCCAGCAACAAATAATTTATCTTTAGCAGAGGAAAGAATTGTCTCTCAGAAACCACCATTCTGAATTTCTGCCTGAAGTAGGTGCAGAAAAAAAGTAAACAACAACAGAGTACACTTTAATATTTTCAAGACGTTTCTGTTCAGTGTGTGAAAATGCGTATCGGGAAGCAATGATGTAGAAGGACCTAGAATCCTCATTGTTGACTGCTGACAGGATGGTAGGCAATGGGCATGAATTAAAAACTTAAAACACAACTGAGCACAAGAAAAGACTTTCTTACTGTGGGGGGTGAATAAGCATGGAAACAGATTTCCTATAGACGTTACAAACCCAGTCTGTGGAGATTCAGAGTCCGACTGGCACAAGCTCTTGTGGGTAACCTGCTCTTGGTGGCATAGCTTGAGCAGGAGTGCTGAAACAGACAATCTCAGGAGGCCCCTGGCAATCTAAACAATTCTGTGATTTTATGATTGCCTAAACTCTACAGTAAGGTTGCTTTTATCTTGGAAACAGATTTTCTCTATTCTTGAAGAACAGTTTCCTCAGCAATTTCAATTATAGCAGAGATAATGCTGGTAAAACAAGGCTAAAGCAAAGAGATGTGGCCAGCTTCTGCAGCGGTGACTCCTATTTGCAGTTGTGTGTGCATGCCTGAAAACACATTGCCCATTATTCAATAATTTTTGAGTGCAGCCTTAGTCTAGTTGAACAGATGAGGTTGTATCAGAAGCTGTCTAGTGCCATAGCTACCACCTGACTAACAATCCACGGACCATACTTCAACTACTAGATTCTGGGAAGGATTAGGTAAGGAGAAAGAAAGGCAACGTTCAACAGGAAACAGACTTCCCATTGTGTGCCTTCATTGTATATTCTCCGTGCTCCCTTTTCTGCTCAGTAACGCAGGCCAGTTTGGAACACTCTAAGTTGTCAAGAGCAGCAAGGGGTTACCCAGAGTGTGCTTTGTCTGACAATACAGACAGCTTTTTTTGTTAACTGGCTTGAACCCATTAGACAATGCTGTGTTTCCCCCTCCCACACCCTCAATCCTGTCCTCACCACCCTCATCCCCAGCCTGGCTCACCCTCCACAGATCCCTTACAGTGTTTGGGTTCATGAAGTACAAATTAGCATAATCAGATTAGCTTCATGGGGTTGTAGAGCTGAAAAGGAGGAAAAAGAAAAAGTGGTTCACAAAGAGAAGCCCTAAGAAGGGCAGAAGGGGGTGATATTGCTGTTGTGCTGTGGTGCTGAAAACTTGCACCTGCATAGCAAGCAGATCCTCTTCTCACTAAGGACTCTTAGATGGTATTAAAGCATGGGAATTAATTGGGGGGAGGAGGAGAAGGGGAGGGGAGGGGAGCGGAGTAGAGGGGAGGGGAGGGGAGAATTCTGTAAATTGATTATCTGTTTTGGGAATGAAGGTTTGCTGACAGTAGAAAATATTGATTCCATTCATCATGGAGAGGAGATCAGTTTGGTAATCTGGACTATCAAGATAAGAGCTTTAGAATCTCTGCAAGAGACTGATAAGAGACATTGTAGGAAAAAAGCCTACTGAGTGGGGGTGGTGGAGTGTGGTGGGGATTTTTATTGCTTTGGTTTTTGTTGTTGTTGTTTTTCTTGTAGTGAGCTTGCATTGCTAAAATTGGTAACTAACCTGCTTGATTGCCTTAGTGCCTGCCCTATTTAGCACCTTCCTGCTCTTGCTGTGAAAAGAACCTTCCTACAGAACTGAAGACACAAATCCATAGTCACAGGTTTTAAAAGCAGCTAGAGACTATGCATTTTTATATACACAGAAAGCAATATGAAATCACTGACTTAGTAAAAGTCTTCACATGCCTGCCAGAGCTGCTTCTGCACAGCCAGCTCTTCCATGTGGATTCACATTCATCTTTCTGAGGTATCTTAAAAGCACACATGGTCAGAAATTACAAGGTAAACCATAAAAGCTCCCTACCCAGAAAGCACCCCAAAAAGCACTCATGACAACCCTGAAATGTTTAAAGTTGAGCCCTCAAGATCAGGAGTTTTATTGTGAACCTCAGCCTTAGACTTCAGTACTTCAGAGGCAGGATAAAAGCAAACATAAATATCAGAGGAAGTCAAGCTTTCAGGCAGTATTTATGACAAGCGCATGGCTGATGCAAACCTGTAGATTTCAAGAAGAAATACTATTTGTGCTTCTATTTACCTTAACAGCACATGGTTGAGAACTGTTCAAAGTGTTTAAATGATGTAGTGAGAAGAAGTAAAGAAACGTGTTTTTTTTTTTATCATTTTAGCATCATTTTCACTTATTTACCTTTAGAAGTAGGCAATCAATATATCAAACGTATAACAAAAACATAAAACGTATTAAGATATTAAAAATATAATTAATACTTTTATGTATTGTTTCAGCTGCCTGTGCTGCTGAAAAACACTCTGGAAATGTTTGAAATTAATAGGAGTCTCTGCATAGAGCTTTCTGAATTACCTGACAATTTGATTTATTTACTAAGTGTAGCAGAAATGAGATGATAGTGTTCTGTTTTGATGACATATACATAAGTAACACAGAGGAAGTCTATGCACCCACGAGACAAGTGTGCCAGACATATAAGATTCATCATACATGCTTTCTCTCACTTTCAAAGGTATTTCCTTTTCATTTTTGTTATTTTTCTTTTCCCTTCATCTGAAAGAATTAAAGACAAAATTTGCACATGACTGAAGTGAGCTTTAGCAAAGGTCCAATAGATGATGAGAGGAATATGTATGCAAATGTTTTCTAATCTGCTCACCAGATCAAAGTAGATTGGTAAAATTTGTCTGCTAACACTGTCTGTAATGAGTGTTTCTCCTCATGCCCATATCCAGGTGTTGGGGAACACCCGTTTGCGTTGTGTCTATGCAGAAATGTGTCCTTTGAGACTGGAATATCCTCTGCCAAATGCTTTGGCTGGGCATGTTCACCCCACAACAGCTGGCAGCTCTTCTGTGTGTGAAAACACAGAGAAAAGAGGAGCCAGAAAGGGCAGCTCCCTTCAGCACCAAGTTATTTCTGCTGCCTTTGCAGCAAAGGGAACATTTCCCACCCGAAGCAGTGCCAGTGCTGAATGCTTTTGGCAAACACAGCCTGCCAGGCTCACTTGCTCTGGTGCGCCAGCAGCCATCCTCACATTTGGCAGTGGGCTTTTCCCATTCAGAGTGACAGAGATCACATCAGAAACTGTTACTCAGCTCTTAATAGGGCCAAATACTTTCTTCTGAAACATTTGTTACCCTACAGGCAGTAAAATACAGTCAGTTGGCCTGAATTTCTGTGCCTAGTTTACTAGGTCTAATAACTTCCTTCCAGTCTGAGTACTTTTAGCCATTGTAGATTCCTCTTTGAAGTCCTCACATCTTTCCAGTATGTGTAAACCCTTTTAAAGCTTGAGTTTAATAATGTAGCCTTGAATCTGGGATTTCTGTAGATCATATTTTAACTGGTTATATACCTACCAATCAGAACACAGTAATCCTCTTTGATTTGATGAAGATTTAATATTGATTGTTCCTAGCCTCTCTCAGCTCCTGGACATCTAATGTTTGCCAAAACCAAGAGAAAACGAATGATATAATCCAACTCCACCATTAACAATGATCTGCATCCTGGGTTCACCCCTGTTCAGCATTGACAGGTTTCTTAAGCATCATACAGAGGTATTTCATGGCTAACCTTGAACAGTGTGAAGGCTCTTCCCCAGGTCTGAGCTATTCAGTTGTGTTCAGAACTAGCCAGGTGTAATGGAACAGAAAAGTGGGGTCTTGGGAAACTTCTTCCCTCTACCTGTGAATACCTCCCTGCTTTGCTTGCCAACACAAAAGTTGGAAGACACATCTGAGGCCCAACGTGGTCCATACTGAGACCTTAAACAAGGACTTCTTCCTACCCTTCATCCTGAGCCACCCCTATGCTCTTTTGTGACACTGACACTCAGCAGAAGAATTGCAGACACAGAATTTTAGAGTCATTAAGGTCGGAAAAAAACTCTAAAATCATCTAGATCAACCACCCATCTACCACTAATATTGTCTGCTAAACCATGTCCCCAAGTACTACATCTATACTTTGCTTCAAGACCTGCAGGGATGGTGACTCCATCACCTCCCTGGGCAGCCTGTTCCAGTTCTTCCTAATAACCTGAATCTCCCCAGCTTGAGACCATTCCCTCTCATTCTATCACTGTTATCTGGGAAACGAAGACAACCCCCACCTTGCCACAACTCTCTTTCAGGTGAGTGTAGAGATCAATAAGGTCTTTCCTGTGCCTCCTCTTTAGACTGAACAATCCCAGTTCTCTCAGCTACTCTTCATAAGATTTGTGTTCCAGGCCTTTCACCCAAAAGATGGCTGCTCTTTGTCTGTGTTTTTGCCAGAGGGATCTCTTTCCAGAAGATGCTAAAGCTGGAGCTTAGCAGAGGACCCTCATTTGTGCACTATTGGTTTTGCAATATGTGGCAGCAAAGTAAACCATGGAGGGATGGGATATGCACTTGTTCACACACATAGGAAGGGGGCTGGCGGAGAATACAATGGGATGAGTCTGTTTCTCACAGAGAAGACCTGGACCGACCCAGAGTGTGTTGAAAACTCTAGGGTTAGCTTATCAACAGCACAATGATAATAAATCCAAGCAGATGCATTTTTTGATCAGATACAGAGTAACCTGTCTACTTTCTGTTACCTCTCCACTTGTTTGAGCTTCTTCGCTTATATCCACCTTCCCCCTTTCAATTCTCATAGCAGCTGCTGCACTAAAAATGCAATTATATCCCTGAAAACTGATGGATTTCTATTCTGACACTTTGTCTTTGGCCTTTAGATTTAAGATTGGCTCTCAAGTGACCTCTGCCCCACAGGTCAGTAGTTAAGTCGCCTATTCTCTCCACCTCTTTTCATCACCCAGCCTTCAAAGGACAAAAGTCAGATCTGCCTTGCTCACACTACTTTAGCTATGGTCACTGCATATCATTCTCTAGCAGCAGATAAATTCATGGGAGACAGTTAGATATGGGAAGACAAATTATTAAATGTTTCCTTAATTGTGCGTCTCTGGAACACCTTGGTGCTGCAGCTTCTACTTCGAGCTCAGAACAAGATGCTGAGATGTATCTTAGTGTCCTAAATAACACCTTTTTGCCATTTACATTGGCTGACTCAGGAATCGTGTGGGTCTCCCTTAAGTCCACTGTAGCCTCATCCTCCCTGATTTAGGCTCACTATAACTAATAAGGCTGCTGAGTGCATGTCTTACTGCAAAATTGTCCCAATCTGAACAACAACACATCTAGGTTTAAAAAAAAAAGAAAAAAGAAAAAAAAGCACCATCCAGATCTGTGTATGCATTGCACAACATGCAGTGCTAGATGCAGTATGTTTCATGTCAGCTAGGATTTGAATTCACCGAATCCCAGGACAAAACCCTGACTTTATGCCTGGCCTCCCTCTGACCACAGGCTGGCCCTCACTAGAATTCACACAACACTAGAGCCTTCTTGCAAGACATGGTCTCAGCACTTTTCTTCCTTTACTCAACCCCAGTCTCTAAGGAGACTTCAGTTACGATCCATAGGCACGAAGCAGATACTGAGAATGTGGAAGACCAAATGATGAACACAAGTCTGGACAACAGGCTTGTTCTTAGGGGTGCTGTGGTTAACTTAAGCTTTACTGGCAACAGTTCCCCTAGGTTCTACAATAGCAGAAGAGTGCCACTTCTCTACTGGCAGCCCTGGCAGCCACCCTCTGTAAAAGGTAATCCTCATTCAGTCTGAAATGTGGAGATATATTCTTCTGTTGATCTTCATGGAAATTCTGAGTAAAGGAATGATTCATCAGGATTTCTGCTTCACAAAGGCATGTGAGGACACCTCACTCCACTCAAGCTAGCGTGTACCATGAGTTGGAGAGAAACATAACTTATTTTTTAACCTTGCATCATACCATTTGCTATCTGGAGACACCAAAAATTCTTCTATAAGATGACCACCTTAATTAGTTTTCCATGCAGTATTAAGAGCCATGTTATTCCCCTTACACCTCTCCCTCCTCCCCCTGTCCCCCAAAAAAGGAAAAAAGTGCCACTCAACCCACTTTAGCACTACTAGATACCTGTAGGAGACACAGTAGGGATCTTACTATTAGGGCCTATTACTGTAAACCTTAGTATAAATGACTATTATGTCATTTATACTAAGGTTTTGCCACTGCCAAGATATGTGAGAGATGTTTTCAGCCAGCTACAACTGAAGTGGTAGTTCTCCATGCCACAGAAGCCATTATCTTCCCAGACAATTTTGAGTGTACCAACCAGTGTGGCATTACCTGCAGCAAGCAGAAGATCCTCTCTGAGTTGACATAACCTTGCATGGTATAAATACATATCTTCAAGTTCACATTTGCTGATTTCATTATTTTTATATAGAATCTCCTGGGAAATCTTTCTCAGGCATGTTTTGCACAAACATGCCTCTCTTGCACATCATAAAGTACCACTGAATGTTTTGAGTTGGAAAATCACCAGAAAGTATTAGTGACAAAAAACAAAGAATTCCTAACATTGTTTGTCATCTGATATTACTTCCAAGTTGTTTCTAAGATCAAGAATCTTGCATAAGATCTAAATAGAAGAATGAATATTTACTGGAAATTACATTGCAGTGAATCTGATATCCTCTGCCAAGTGGTATGCAACTGTAAAACAAAATTTTAGAGAAATTTAAGGACAAAGAGAGATTCATTTCTTAAATAATTTATTTGGAATATATTAGATGTTAAATAACATAATGTAGCGCAAAACGTGATCAGGCACACCATATTTGTTCCTGATCATACAGATAAGAAATCCCCAAAACACGAAGGAAAAAAAAAAAACAACCTGACAAAAAACTCTTTGGCCAATAGATTTAGTCAAATACACATGGGATGTGAAAGTAGGGGGCCCATAAACGGAGAAAGAGAAGAAAGAAAACACTGATGAGAACCAAAACAATACTGAGAAAGGAACTTGAAGGGATAGGGAATATTACAAGCACGTTACATTGCAGAACTGACAGGTTTCCTTTTGCCTTCCCCAGGCAATAATTCTGCTGATGAGATGCTTTGACTTGTCTTGGTGACACATGTTTCTTAGGACAGCAAGTGGCTGATGGAACAAAGAACGCCATCACACTTCACCAATCAGTGCTCTGATTTATTTGGACTAATTCATTGAAAAGCTAGAAGAACGTCTTGTCTCATTACCTTGGATGCAGAGGTGGGGAGAAGGCAGTGCTAGTTGCACAGACCATGCAAAAGACTCCTATGTGTTTCCACTCAGCTGCTCTCCTGTACCATCTTTAGCCCTCAGAACTCAGTAATGCAGGAACAAGCAAGTGGAGATTCACAGTGTTCAGAAACAAGATGGTCATTAACCATTTAAACTTTTTTTTCTTTTGGTCAAAGGTTTCCACTGATATTCCTGCACCCCACAGCATCAACCCTGTACGGAGTGAGCAGTGTTGTTCTGTCAGTGCATTAAGCAGCACAATATGCACTTCACAAGAACCAGACCTGTCCAAGGAGGAAGGAGAAAAGTATGCCTGCTGTTTGGTGAAGCTTTAAATGCAGCTGACCTGTGGGTGGCAAATACCCTCAGGTAGAAGGGCTGTATTTGTTACCTAAACAAGCCCTGTCTCCGCTTCCTGAAGGCAGCTCCCTGTGTCACAAATAAGAAGAAACAGCCCAGGGAGATGCTTTGGCATGTGGATGATCTGTTTCTTCACCTGCCACGTACCTTGTTTCATTTGGAAATAGAAAGGACTTTTGTCAAAGGAAACATGTGTTAACGTTGAAGAAGGTCTACTTGAGCCCAACGTAATTTTTTCTCTTGCTCTCAGCAGCTTTGTACCTTTCATGAGCAGGACAAATCTTTTCTGATACACGTTATAATTCAGGGAATTGATTTGTGTAACAACCCACAGTGATCACCCTCACAAAACTCTGCTCATCCTGCTCATTGCCTGAATACAGCATGGTGGTTGCCAAGACACCTGGCATGCAGCCTGTGCCAAACAGGCACTAGAGCACGTTGCTCATTACATCCCACCTGTGCACGAGAAGGGCAGTGATCGCTTGTGTTCCATAAAGGTTTTCTGAGAGTGTCATTCAGGCCTTTTTCCTGAGACCTCTTGCTCAGAACGAGGGCTTCCCCTGTTTTTACAGCTGTTGAAGAACAGAGGCATTTAGCCAGCAATCTGCTTGATGGGTTTTGATAGCAGCTGGAGTGTAGTCAGCCAGCTTCCTTCATGTACACATGCTGGGTACTGCTAGGTATGGGCTTTACAGATTTCTCTGAAATTCATCTTTGACTCTACCTTTATTTTAAAACAACACTTTTGTTTCAAGCTAATTTTAAATTTTGTTAACTAGTATTTTGCTATAATTTCAGGGATTCCTCCAGTCTGATAAAGATGTAGGCAGGTTCAAGGGTTAGGATTTGTATTTTCAAAGAAGTTCAAGTTGGAAATAAGATTTGCAGTGAATGCAGGTGGTTACTAGAACCAGCAGTGGAGGACTGGAGAAAATACGACATCCCTCAGAACCTTTCACTACCATGGCCAGATGTCTTTCTTGGACATGTTTTGTGGCACATTCATCATTTCTTAAGCTCAGAGTGCTTCTTCAAAATGCCATGGGAGAATAACCTCTTCCTCTGACAAACCACTGGATGGATTTCTATGGCCCCAACTGATAGAAGAGGTCAGGGCAGAGGCTTTTCTGGCTTAGAATTGTCTGTTACAGCAGTGAGTCCTTCCTAGTTCCCAGAGCATGACCTCTTTCAATGGCTCTTTCAATTGCTAACTGACCAAGGAATTCCTTTGCCATTAAATGGAAACTTAAATAAAGCAGTAATAAATACAAATAAATTATCATTGTACATTGAGAGGCAACCCACAAAGATAGTGACTATCAGACTAACACCAAGACTTCATCTCTCATTCTCTGCTAAGGAGATGAAGTCTCTGACCAGCATTCTGCAATGTTGCTGCTCATGCTAGGAGAAGAGGCACCACAGCTTTCAATGAGAGTTAGCTCCTCCATACTCTGCAAGCATGGGGCTTGCTGGAAGAATCCCAGGATGCTGCCTCGTGCTGCCACTGCTGTCTGCTGCAGGCCTGGCTCTCCCAGCACCTTGACAAGGAAGTTGATGTATCTCATAGCTAGCCGTAGTGTCTCATTCTTGCTTAGTTTTTTGTCTGGTGGATGGGTGGGAATAAGTTTCCTCAGCTTGGCAAAGGCGCTGTTGACATTTTGCTGCCTCCATCGTTCCCTGGTGTTGGTGAAGATCTTCCTGGTCATTTTCAAGGTGCTGTAAAGTAAAGGAGATGGATATTGAGTGCTAGATATCCCTGACTTTCCTGCAGGCCGCTGCTCTGGGCATGCTGTTACCTCTGTGGCAGCTGTGAACACTTGGTCATGATGCTAGGAATTCTTAATTGTTGCCCTCTCTGGCTGATATCCTTGCCCTGCACACACAGATTCACCCCACTCTTAGAAATTATGTCTCAGTATAAATACACAATCATAGGCATAGCAGCTGCAGACACCAGAATCCAATAAAAATTTCACAAAAGAGTAAATGAATTTAATTTCCTTGTACAGCCCCGCAATGCTGCCTTTATCCCAGCTTCTCCAGCCTCCTAAGGTTCTCTTACAGGAAAACTCCCTTTAGCCTCCAGGTTAGTCCACTCAGCAGGCTGCGTGGGGCACCTGAGCACTTCTTGCAGGGTAAGAAGGGAGGGGTGGGCAGGACCATGACAAAACACCCATGTTTATCAAGGCCCATTTCTTGGGCCTTCTTGGGGGCTGTTCCCACCTGTCCCAAGTTTCAGAGTATAGCAGGAAATAAGCCATGCATAGGTGGACCTCGAGCAGGGGCCTTCAGAAGGCAACAGCTGATGATAATGAACACATGGTTACTTTAGGATTACTTTAGGTTATTTTAGAAGATTTCTCCAGGGAAGCAATGGTCTGGTTCCCTGCCCATATTGATGGCTCACTGCTGGTGACAGGGATTCCCCAGTTCAGTACATTTAGGCTTCTATTTTAGCCTCTGAGATCTGCTAAGACTAAGCCACAAATGCCACGAGTGCTCCTGGGCAGGGTTCACAGGCTGTAAAGGGACAATGTGATGCCTACAAAATGTGCAGGCATTCCAAAAGTTCATGCAGATGTTACTGGCCATGCTGCTTCACAGTGCTGAGCAACAAAGGGGACCAGTGCCCAGAACAGACCTGGAAACAGGACACTGCTGTGCTAGGTGCAATGGGTGGTTTTAAATGCCGTTTATTAGAAACGTTGTCAAAAACTTTTGGAATTCACCTAATCCTGCTCATTGATGTTTTCGGCCCATGGGAGACTGGCTGCCAGGCCACCCTGCTGTTCTTGCTCATTTCCATTTCCCAGGAAAGCCCTCAAGTTCTGCTCAGAAATATCTGATGGCTGTAGTTCCCTCTCAAAAGCCTTCCCTTCTGCCTCACAGCCGTGTGGGAGATATTCACTCTTCCATTTCTGAAGTGTTTTTTTTATGCCAATGGCATGCAGGCAGCTGGAGCAGAGAAAACTATCGACAGCCAAGGGACTAAAGGACAAATGCTTCCACCTTCTCTCTCATGAATGTGAAACCCTCAACTCTTTATATTCATCTGCAAATTCACTCCCAGGGCAGTCCCAGAGGCTGCAAAGCAGGGGAGGCAGCGCTCCTCACGCTCAGAACGGAAAACACTGGAGATCCCTGCTACGAAGCCATAGCCACGTGAAGAAGCCTCATGCTGTGCGAGGTGCTCACCTTCATTGAAGCATGTGGCAAAATTCTGGGTGAGTAAAGCAATCCCACTGTGACACAGAGATCAAGTGGGTCTTCCTTGGCAGGGAGGCAAGACACGCACAGCAGACGGGAAGTCCCCTCTCAGCACCTTCACTTCACAGTCTAACACTCCTTGCAAATCACCAGGCAAACACAGCTGTAGGGCCATAAATCATGTTGGAGCCACATTCAGACACCTCCATCAGAGACGCACTCATGTAGACTATATATGGCTGTGCTCCCAGGCTGGTCTCATCTGTAGCCTCTACACTGCTACCACGCTGCTATTTTAGTAGAAGCTTGAAACTACTGTCAGCCCAGTTGTCTACACTGCCTTAAGGGGACAAGAAAGTTGTCTGATCAGAATGTGCTTGTTTCATGAGCAGCTCCTGTTAAAAGCTAGCTCTAGTATTTTAGGTGGCTGAGGGTTCTTCCTGTTTTTGTAAACTTGCATTGAGACCCATTTCTCAATCCAAATGGAGATTGTTTTTTCAAACAGTATATTTTATTTTAAAAAAATTAAATTGCCTTCCTACTCTGAATGTTACTTTGAGTTTGTGCATTGTGGACAATCCTTCTTTGTCCTCTGCACTCACCTGGAAGAGCTAGCATGCACCTTTCAGGCAATAATGCTGCCGAGTCAGGAAAATAGATTTCAAGCATTGTCCTCCAGTGCTTCTGTCAGCTGCAGCACGTTCATTCCCCAAGGCAAAATTTTTGCCAATACAATTTTATTCTTCCAAGCAGCTGCTTGGATTCATATGAAATTCAGAGCACCACCCACTTCTCTCCACCCTTTTCTGTTTTAGTTTGGTTCAGTTTGTTTGTTTGCTTGTTTTAGAATAAATTTATCTGTGTGCAAAACAGTTGCTTTTTTTATAAACTAGGGAAGGTTATTTGGGCCTCCTTGTTTCTTCTAGTGGTCTGGGTGGACTGTGTTCCATTCCCATCCATGTGCTATCATTCTGGTACCCTGCTCTGTTTGTTTGCATCTCAGTCGTGAATGCCGGTGGAAGCTCGACTCCTTCCTCCTGCTGCATAGCACCCGGCACAGCACTCCGTGAGAACAGGTCAGTGCTGCGAACTGGAGCGTGGTCACCTCTTCATTTTAGCAGCGTTATGGTGGAGAAATAACTCCCAGCCTGCTCCTTCGCACCACGCTGCCTTTGTCTCTCTCCTCTTTCGCTTGGAAAGGACAATGCTACATCTGTGGTCACAAGCCTCGTCAGCAAATAGATGCCTTTGTGAGACCAGTGCCTGCTTTACACTTCAAAAGTGTGTGCTTGTATTTCTGACATGTGTTCAAGATCAGCAAACAGCAGCTTCCCCCGCCCCGCTACCTCCTCCTGCTCTAGTGCCTGCACAGGGAGGTCCCTGCAGCTGTAGATCACCTCCACAGCCTCTCCACCTTACATCTCAGTCCTCCTGCTCCTCACTGTCTTGGTGCTTCACATAATCTCATTGTTTCTCTGGGAGGTTCTGCTGGAAGGGTGAGAGAAGAATGAGCCTGGTCCACGACTGCCCGATGTTAACGTTTCAACACAGCTTAATTCCTCACATCATCACCAACACATCCTTCCAATTTTCTCTAACTATGGCACCTTCCAGTCAAGGAGCAGCGAGTTCACTGACAAAGCATCTGATTTCCATTCCTTTTGTCTCATTCCTTCCCTCCTCCTCCCTCCTTCTCTCCAGCCCTCCCCACCAGGCTTGGCTTTCAATGTGAAATTGCGTGCAGCTTCAGATCTTCGCTAATGCTGCACGTCTGAGCAATATATTCTTTAGCTTTCCTGGTGCAATGCGTAAAATATGTATTGGCTGGTGGCTGCGTGCAATTTGTATTGCACCAGCCCATTTTAAATCTCCGCAGAAATCACCACTTTGTTTCCACATACTGCAGACAAATTGCTTTATCCTGCACACCTGGATTATTCAGTGCTTTCTGGTCACCTCTGCCAGCTACAGGCTAACAGCCCACATTTATGTGATGAAGGAGGAAAATGAGAAGGCAATCCTGCCTAGATCCAGGAGGATTAATTCTGCTCAGAAGAATGTAAATCTGAAGGGTTACACCATTTTTACTGGTGGAGTAACGCTGCAGTTCAAAACGTTGCCATTGAGGACAGGATTTAACTGGGATCAGGGAGGCAAATCCAGAAACAGTAGTTAAGTGCATCTTCATGAGCTGAGATCCACATCTGCAGCATGTAAAGAGAACTGTGCAGAGCCATAACCACAGCCCAGCAGTGAATCCGCCCTGACAGCCAGCGAGAGAAAAACATAACACTGCCACCCACCGAACAGATAACTGAAGCTCTTTCCACCTCCTGCCTACCCTTTTGAAAAGCACAAAAATAGGGGGGAAAAAAAAATCTGGCTGTGGCTAGTGCAGCCGCAAGTGTCGCCAGACAAAAGAGTAAACAATAGCAGAGATGAAGATCTCTCCGTCGGTGGCAGCAGTTCTCTCCGTGCAAGAGCTGCTCAGGCAATTCCAGCAGCAGCTGCTCCAGCCTGGGGACAGAGCACCATCTCTGCAAGGACTTCCCTGGCAAACGGCCCCGAGCCAGCATTTAATGTCCAAGGGCTGGCAGGGGACTCCCCAGCAGCCCAGCACTCTATCATAATTAGCAGGTTGCTATTAAATAAAGATCTTGGAGGAGAAAGTTCCTCCCTCATTTTATACCTTTGACCTCACTGAAGTTAAATCCATGTTGAAACTAGCCACTGGAGACCTACTCCTGCAAATCTTAATCAGACAGCAGATGCCTGCTGCCAGCAAGAATTGGAGTGCTGCTAGTAAACCCGTAATGCCATGCTGTTCTCCATAGGGGAAGAAGCCCCGTGCCTGCTAAAACTGGTTATTTAACACATCGATTTTGTGAAGTCCCTTCAGCTCTGAGGTAAATGACTGTAGAGCAGCGGGTGGTGCCTGGATCTGGCACCAGGCAGGTGCTGGCAGCCTGATCTGCCACGGGGAGCAGAGATCGCCAATAGAGCAGCCCACAGCCATGCTTTGTTCACTTTGCATCAATGCAACATGGAGAAGAGGAGAAAGAGGAAGCTCATTGTTTTCCTCTTCAGCTTCATGCCAGCCGTGGAGCACAGGACTCAGTGCCGTGCAAAGATTGAGCATGGATGTCACAGGACATTACGCTGCCTATCAATAACACGTGTGACTTTTTTTTCTCCTCTCTGTAGGAGAAATAATCTTGAACTCTCTGCAGCTGAACCACACTCTGTTCGCACAGGTCTGAAGGACTTCCCTTGGGCCAAGAGGGGAAAGGAGAGAGGGGGGTGATGACGTGCCCCAGCTCAGTGGACTGCTGGAGGAGCAACACTCCTCTAGGAACTTGTTCCCCTCAGCTATCCTGAGTACTCCCATATCCTTCTCACGTGCTACATCCCCATACCCCATCAGAACACTGGTGGACAAGTCATAGGTAGAGCACAGCACAGCTCAGTGAGACAAAGCCATGCCGGCCATTAGGAGCTG